CCATTGCATCAGTCTATTCAAATCATCCTGGAGTGCTCTAGTGTCCTCATTAGAATGAATTGGACGACCTATTTTGGTGTCATCAGCAAATTTGCTTATGTCGCTATTTATTCCCTCATCTATGTCGTTTATGCAAATTGTGAACAACAACAGCCCAACACTGACCCCTGAGGAACACCGCTTGTGACGTGCCCCATTCTGATTTCTCCCCATTTATGCAAACTCTCTGCTGTCTTATTTGTCAGCCATGCCTCTACCCAGGAAAAAATTTCTCCTCCTATTCCGTGTGCCTTAAGTTTCCTCAATAGCCTCTGGTGTGGAACTCTATCGAAAGCCTTACTGAAGTCCATATGCACATTATCATATTCATTACCATGATCTACCTCCTCAAACACCTTAGTGAAAAAAGTTAGTAGATTCGTAAGACAGGAGCGCCCCTTTGTAAAACCGTGTCGAGATTCATTAATCAATCTGTGTCTATCAAGATGGCTACGAATTGCTTCGGCAGTTATTGATTCCATAAATTTTCCCACTGTGGAGGTAAGGCTTATTGGTCTATAGTTCGAAGCCAAGGACCTGTCACCTGCCTTGTAAATAGGTATTACATTTGCTATTTTCCACTTATCAGGCACTATGCCAGTTTGTAGTGATATGTTAAGCAGGGGGATGTGTGGAGCAATTATCCAGGAACAATAAAATTTTAGTTTTCTTCTAGTCCAGCTTGCCTGCAATGAGCTCGTGCAGCTGCTACGAAGTGGTTATTTAACCAGTCGGAAAACATCTCTCGGGTTACCCATGCTTTGTTGGCATAACAATGCACAGGTAAATTGCATACACCTTTCGGACATCTCGGATGTTTGTTTTTTCCAATCACCTTGTGTGTGCCTGCAGCATTGGCACACCCAAGAATAGTTAACCTGTCCTTAGCATCCTTAAAACCTGTTGGTGCTCTCTCATCAGCCATTGTTAATGTTTTTCTAGGAATATTGTACCAGTAGAGAGCTGTTTCATCATCATTGTAAATTTGTTCAGGACTAAGGTTTTTGTCGGATATTATCTTGGCAAATTCATCAATGTAATTTTCAGCTGCTTCATGGTAGCAGAAGCTTTTTCACCACAGATTTTCAGACATTTTACACCAATACTCTTAAATTTCTGCAGCCAACCGTCTGAATGTTGACACTCGCCTTTAATGTTCAGTTCTTCATGGTATATTCTAGCTTGTTTCATGACCAGCAAACCAATCAGTGGCTTACATTCACTTTTTCGTTGTCGAATCTACTCCATTAGCACACAGTAAAGATTTTTTTTTTTTTTTTTGCCCTATGCAGTGTTTTCCTATTTTTCATTAGTTTTTTGGTCACTGTCACTATAATACTTCAGTAACTTGTCTTTCTTTAAATCATAAACAGTGGTAGTTCCAACACCATATTCGTCAGTAAGACGCCACACTGACACACCACGATCAAGCTTCTGCAGTAACTACTTTCTGTGTTATTGATAATGTCAGATGCTTCCTTTTCTTTTTCTCACTGTTACCCATAGGGGTATCTGCAGCTCTTTTTAATTTCACTGTGAAAATGTCAGTCACAAAATCGAAAGCAAAAACAAAATATCAGCGAACAGCAGATGCAAGTGTGAACACTACAAGCGCTGAGATACAGCTGATGCCTGCCACTCTGGTTGTCAGTGCTAGGTCATGCCACCACGTAGTTTTCGGAACTTTTTGAATTTCAGAATTTTGGATAAAGGGATGTGGACCTGTACTGTGCAACCTACATTTACAGAACCACAAATTCTTATATTAACCCTGAGCTAAAACACTTTCTTGATAGTTGCAACAGGACCCATAGACATAATTCCAGACACAAAAACTGCTGTGACATTCCTTGTGTCCAGCTAAACCTCTACAAAAATTTGATGTACATAAAACTGCCTAAAATCTGGAACTCCCTGCCTGAAAACTCTAGAACCACAGACTCGACCACCATTTTCAAAACTGCCGTTAAAATTCTAATCTCCATAACGCACCCCATCAAACCATACCACGGGCGGGGATAGAACCTGTGATCAGAGTCTCAAAACTCCAGACTTGCATTTGTGGTCACAGTGGTGCCTATGCTAACCTTCCTGTGGTGTAGAAATATACCTAGTTGGACGAATCTTATTGTGGCTAGCTGGTCCAGTGGCTAACGCGACGGTCTGGAGTTTTGAGACTCTGATTGCGGGTTCTATACCATGGGTGGGGATAGTTTGTTTGCGATCATGTCATTACGATTTCGTGAGTCACGCCATCATTAGCTAACCAAATGAAAATCGCCTAATTTTCTTTTTTGTATCATGAACACATCCAAACCAATATAATCCTCTCGTTATCTGTAATTTCTCCTAATTTACAATTAAACCCACCCAAGTGACTGTAAACAAAATTACTAATAGAGCTATTGCCTATTAAATCTTAAGTTAGTCTTAATTAAGTCTACCTAAGATATATTTCCAGTATATAAACTTTAATAGAAACAGACAAATCCAACCCCATTACTAAATTTACCATTTGTAACATTAAGTACAGTGGACCCCCGGTTCATGATATTAATCTGTTCCTGAGAGCTCATCGTAAACCAAAATTATCGGAAAGCGAATCAGTATTCCCCATAAGAAATAATGGAAATCAAATTAATCCGTGCAAGACACCCAAAAGTATGAAAAAAAAACTTTTACCACATGATATATTAAGTTTAATGCAATATAATAATTACAATAACAATAATAACAATAGAATAATTGACACTTACCTTTAATGAAGATCTGGTGATGTTTGATGGGATGGGAGGAGGGGAGAGTGTCGAAGTTTTTAATGTTTAGAAGGGGAATCCCCCTCCATTAGGACTTGAGGTAGCAAGTCCTTTTCCGGGGTTACTTCCCTTCTTCTTTTAATGCCACTAGGACCAGCTTGAGAGTCACTGGACTTCTGTCGCACAACATATCTGTCCATAGAGGCCTGTACCTCTCGTTCCTTTATGACTTTCTTAACCCTTTGACTGTTTTCGACGTATAAATACGTCTTACGAGCCAATGTTTCTGACGTATATATACTCAATAATTCTAGCGGCTTCAAATCAAGCGGGAGAAAGCTGGTAGGCCCACATGTGAGAGAATGGGTCTGTGTGGTCAGTGTGCACCACATAAAAAAAATCCTGCAGCACACATTGAGTAATGAGAAAAAAAAAACTCTGATCGTTTTTTTGGAATAAAACGCCGACTTTGAGGTGTATTTTCGTATAGTATTTATCGTTGTATTCGCGTTTTCATGGTCTTAGGTGATAAAATGGAAAACATATTACAGAAATAGAGATGATTTTCATTACTTTTACGATGAAAACGACCTTGAAACTGAGCTCAAAGTAGCGGAAATGTTCGATTTTTACCAATGTTCAAGAGTAAATAAATCACACCACACGTCCAAACACGTCAACTGGGAGACTAATATTCTTCACTAGTGCACTGATATTATTTATACCATTTTACAATAATGCAGTCGTCTGCATAACAGTAAATTTTGTATTTTTTTGATGAATAAAAAATCAAAATAGAAAGCAATAATAATATAAGAGGGGCCTAGAGATGTGACTAATGAACAGAGCATATGTTATTTTAGTGCCACGAATGTCTATCTTGTTTATTCTGGACCCTATTTTGAAATTGGCATCTTTTTTAGTTTGCGTGAAATTGGCCAAATTGCCAATTTCTGACCACCATATTGGGTAGTCCAAATTAGTAAATGGGAGGTTTCTTGTACTCAGCTGATAGATAAAATGCAGTTCTAAAGAAATAGCTATGAGTTTGGTCAACTGGAACAATGAAATTGGCTGAAAATAGGGCTCAAAGTCGGCGAAATCGCCAATACGCACATGTCGCAGAAACCGCTAACTTCGCGGGAGCATAATTCCACGAGTTTTCGACCAAATTTCGAACTTTTGGTGTCATTACCATCGGGAAAAGATTCTCTATCATTTCATAAGAAAAAATAATTTTTTTTTTCAAAAATTGAGCGACATAGAATGACAGTTTCAAAGAGGGGCCTGAAACAGTCAAAGGGTTAAAGTGGTTCACAACATTGTCAGTGTACAGGTTGCCAACACGGCTTGCAGTAGCTGTGTCAGGGTGATTTTCAATAAAAAAATGGTTTGCACTTCAAGCCACTTTGCACACATTTCCTTAATTTCAATAGTCATTAGCACCCTTGGTCTCGATGGGTTGGCACTAGAAGCTTTCTTGGGGCCCATGGTGACTTATTTTGCAGAAACAAGCACCAAAAACAGTGATAATATGGATAATATAGAATGTACTGAATGTATCCTTAGATGCGCGCACACTGGCTTGCTTGTAAACAATGGATACGTCTTGTACGAATCGTATCGCATACCGGGTTTTGTAACTGGAACCGAGGCCAATTTTTTGCAATATAATGCTTCGATACCGGATTTATCGGATACCGATGGCTTTGCGAACCGGGGGTCCACTGTAATTTGTTCTTCCTCAATATTGTAAATCCAAATATGTATGTGCCCAATTGGGTTTGTATCTAATTATGTATTTATCTAATAATGTAAGTTCAAATGTACTGCTCCATAACCTATATCAATATAGAGTAAGAATTAGTATTAGTCTGCCTGAAATGCCTAGGTATGCTAATGGCCTTCTTTTGTAATTAATATTTTATATTGTGTAAACCACACATAGTAAGCTTTACAAAGAAATAAACATTTTGATTTGATTTTGATTTGATAGAAAGTGGAGCAGTCCACTAAGAAGTATAGTGTAGCCAAAGAGGAAACCAATAGTTCACTACTGTACAGAATTTGAAAAAAAAAAAAAAAATTATTTATGTTGTCTTTCTTGTGATTCCAGAAATAATTTGATCTTGGTTTGATTAGATTTTCTTTTTACCATTTTTGTAAAATGCAATTCTGTATTTACTTAATTTGCTTTCTCACTAGATCATGGCAAAACCTGGAACAATGAAAGCTCATGACAATGTTGAAGGACAAGTGTATGTACTTAAGAAGGATGAAGGAGGCAAATCAAGAGCTTTCGCTTCATACTGTCAGATGCAAGTCTTTAGCAAAACCTGGCGTTGTTCTGCTCAAATTGTTGTAGCCGATAAAGAAATGGTCATGCCAGGAGAAGATGCCAAGTAGGTTTCAGTAAATTTTTTTGCTATGAATAAAAATTAAAGGAATTACTGTACTGTATAACCTTTATGCAGTCTGTTTTTTAATCTTGGCCTTGACTAAGCAGTGATGACACCCTCAGTAAACTTTAGAAAAAATATTTCTCTAAACATGGTAGACCATACAGTTAATTTTGTCTATGGCATAAGAATCTTGGTTAAATATTAGAAATATTTTGTTAATTGATTGGTAGGGATAGTTAATAAGATTATGCATGTTTTAAATGTGGCATTAGGAAATTCCTGTAGAATAGTATCTACACAAGCTTAGAGAGGTATGAGTATAGTGACAGAGAGATTTGGGTAAACCAACTAACCAGACTTGAGTTTGAGAAGTACAGTGTCTACCTCTTTTAAAGTTAGAGTGAGATATTGGGTCAGTGCAGCTAGGGAGATAGTGATAGTAAATATGTTTTCTTTGGGTTGTCCTGCCTTGGAAAATGGCCGAGAAATTAAGCATGTATAATTTTTTCCATGGCCATTCAATATCTGGTCGGGGCAATCAGTCTTGTAATCTGTCGTTTTGCACTTAAAAATCCAATATTAGGTGTGAGAGGCATATACATGGAGCTCCATTATCTTTTTTTTTTAACACGCTGGCCTTCTCCCACCAAGGCAGGGTGACCCCAAAAAAAAAGAAACACTCACCATCATTCACACAATGTCAGTCTTTGCAGGTATGTCCAAACATTAATATCTCAAACCCCTCCATTTGATCTCATTGGCAATAATGCCAACTAAACAATTTAAATGACAAGGAATTTATATGCAAGAGTTTATAATTTATATACTAAAATATTATTTTTCTTTGAAGGTTGAGTTTACATCTGCTGAAACCAATGGTTCTGGAGAAGGGTCAGCGATTTACACTTCGGGAAGGAAGTATAACAGTTGGTACTGGTGTTTTTACAAACATCAACAAGGATTTGACAGAAGATGAGAGAACTGCAGTTCAAGAAGGTAAAAAGGGAAGAGAGAAGAAGCTTAAAGCCCAAAGGAATTAAGCTCAAAATCTGAATTGTTCATAATTATTGAAGTATCCTAGACACCCAAGACTATTCCACCTGATGTGTACTTGGCTTCTTATGATGTATTAGGCAAGTTGTTCAGTGAACAGTCATGAACTAGTTAAACCTGTTTATACTGGAATACTGCAATGTATTTGTGAAAATATTTTAGGTCATTGTTAACATATGATTCTGGTAGTAAAGTATTATCATAATTGTTAAAAATCAGTTATCTACTTATGTATAATTTCTTCATTTACAAATACAGGAAAGCCTTAGTGTAGAGTTACCAAGAGTTATGTTTTGAGTAATGAAAATATCCTATCACGAATGCAATTCAAATAGTTTGCAATGCATTTGTTTATATGTTTAAAGCATGTGCTATACACTGCTTGTTTGAAGACTTTTATAGTAAAATTCTACTCTTTGTACTAGCATTGCAACAGATTTTGGTGAACTGTAAATGCTTTATAATTATTTAATGACAATTTGCTGTATAAGTTTAATCTCAAGCATGAGTCAATATAATCTGTTGGTAACAGGTATAATTTTAGTTTAAATTTTTTCCATACATAAAATTTATGGAATAAATATGAAAATTTATAAATGATGCCACTGCTAATAATAGTTACATTGATGTGTTATTAGATTCATTGAGCCTGTTTGTTCACGTAGTAATTTTGTAAATAAATTTTTTTTTTTACACTATCTGAAGTCTTAATCTCCCTGAGTATGAACACTCTCCAATGCTAGGTGAATAATAAGACATGCTTCAAGGTTGCTCTCACATTTAAGAAATATATTTCATTAAGTTTGGAAAAGGCTGAAAATGCCTTGTTGGACTACTCAAGAATTACAATATGATCTGAGAAAATTGAAAAGACATGATTGCCTGCCATTTCCCAGGAGTTGTATAACCCACTACAGGTTTATGCTTTCACCTTTTTTTTTTTTTTTTTAATGCTGGCCATCTTCCACTGAGGCAGGGCGATAAAACACTTTCACCATCATTTGCATTATTGCTGTCTTTGCAGAGGCATGCAGATATGACAGTTTAGGTGTCACTCTAAAGGAGGGGGTTTGGGATATTTGCTGTTTAGAGTGCAGGCATTGTACTTCCTACCTCCAGGACTCTAGTCCAGCTAACCAGTTTCCCTGAATCCCTTCATAAAATATTATTACTGCATGTTCCAGCAGCTCGTAAGTCCCAAAAACCATTTGTCTCCACTTCTATCCAACACACACACACATGCCTGCTGTATCTCCAAGCCCCTTGCACACACAACCTCTTTTACCACCTCCCCCTGTCCTTTCCTAGGATGACCTCTACCCTTTCTTCCCTCCACTACAGATTTATACAAAGTCATACTAATTTGTCCCATCCTCTCTAAATGACCAAACCACCTAAACCCCTACTCAGCCCTCTGAATAATTTAGTAACTCCACACTATTTTCACACATGAATTCTCTGCCTTCAGCCTCCTCCTCACTGCAACATTCACAACCCATTCTTCACACCCATGTAGGTGTGTTGGTACTACTATACTCTCATACATTCCCTTCTTTGTCTCCATAGATACCTCAATCCACTACCCCCCTCTTTCCTTTCTTCAGTTACCTCTTTCTTCATAAACCCATCTGCCAAAAAGTCTACTCCCAAATATCTGAATATTCACTCCTGTACTCCATCCAATCTAATATCCAATTTTTCTTCACCTAAATTGTTTGATACCCTCATCACCTTACTCTTAAATATATTCACTTGCAATTTTTTTCCTTTACACACCCTCCCAGACTCGTCCACTAACCTTTGGAACTTCCCTTCAGAATCTTCCAGAAGCACAGTATCATCAGCTTTTAAAAAGTAACTTGTGCTAACTCTCATTTTGTATTTGATTCAACATAATTTAATCCAACCCAGCTCCCCTACACCCTAGCATTTACTTCTTTTACAGCCCCATTTATAAATATGTTAAACTTTATTTTTAGTAAGCTGTATGGGAGAAGGGGTTACTAGCCCATTGCTCCCGGCATTTTAGTTGACTTATACAACACGCGTGGCTTAAGGAGGAAAGATGCTCAATTCCACTTCCCCATGGATATGAAAGAAAATAATAAAAACAAGAACTATTAAGAAAAAAATCAGTGTAAGTAAAAGTAGCAAAATATACCCGTTATCTTTTGGTTTGAGACAGAAAAGACACCAGCACTCGAACCATCGTGTAAAACAAATACAGGCTTCTGTCTTATACTTATTTGGCCGGACAGCAGTACCTCCTTGGATGGCTGCTCTCTAAAAAAAAAAAAAAATAGGACACCACCTGGAGTTGAACCCAAGTTTACTGCTGCTTTGAAGGTAGCCATGCTGACCACTACACCACACAGCTGTATTGTCTAATTCTTTAAGTACTGTCAAGAGCTTCATCACTATTTCAAAGCTATCTGAGTGCTTTTACTCTTGATACCTACTGCCGTTCCTTGTATTTTTATCTCTTGAATGTGCTTTGGATCGAGCAACTACACAGCAAACTCCAGGTGAAACCCAACCAGCATCCACCTTCTTCGTTCCCCTAAATATACAGCAATAATTATTTAAAGAGTTAGGGATGAAACAAAGTAAGATTGCAGAGGACCAGGGAAGCTAGGGAATGTGTAGACCAAGTATTTACACTGAAATACATAAGTGAGCAGCACTTAAATACAGGTTAAGAGGTGTTGCATTTATGGATTTAGAAAAAGCATATATGGTGGATGTTGCAAATATATGGAAGCAGTTACGAGTTGTGTGTGTGCATGTTAGGAGTAGAGGCGAGTGGTTTTTATTATTTGGAGTAGGAGCAAAGTAACATTTATGAAGGGATTCAGGGAAATTGGTTAGAGTTGTCATGAGCAGTACAGTGCCTGCACTCTGAAGGAGGGGTGGGGATGTTTAAGCTTAGCCATCTGAACTGTAATGTCCAGCACTCTTCTGGCAAGACAGTGAAGATGTTCATCTGCCACCAAGAAAGGGCAACCCAAAGAAGAAAACACATTCACCATAATTCAATTACCATCTTTCCAGAAGCATGCTGGCATCACAATCATATTAACTTCTGACCAACATCCCCACCCTCCCACAGAGTGCAGGCACTCACCTTTCCACCTCCAGGTATCAAGTACAGCTAACCAGTTTCCCTTCATAAAAGTTACTTTGCCCACACTCCAACAGCATGTCCATTAAAAAACCACTTGTCTCCATTTGCTCCTCAGATGCATACTGAAGCCTGTAAGATGTTCAAGCCCCTAAAGATCAAAGCCTCTTTTTACCCCCTCCCATCCAAGCAATCCTGGGATGACCCCTACTCCTATCTTTCTCATTTATAGACCCATCTGCTGACATGTCCACTCCCAAATATCTAAATACGTCTACTTCCTTTTTACTCCCACTCGAATTACTCAATTTATCACTGTCTCGACTTATTTTTTTTTGGTTGCTCTCATAACCTTTCCCTTTTCTAAGGGGAGCAGAAGAGTAAAAATTATAGGGAAATAAGCCTGAGTTACCAGGTAAAGTATGAGGTGTTGCATAGGAGTGGAGGCAAATGATTTTTGGGACTTGAGTTGGAGTGTGAGTAGATAACTCTTGGGAAGGGATTCAGGGAAACCAGTTAGTCGGACTAGAGTCCAGCACTCTGATGGACGGGTGGGAATATTTGTAGTTTGGAAGTGCATCTGAACTGTAGTGTGTGTACTCATATAATTGTGATTGCAAGGGTTGATTCATTGCTCCTGGCCCTGTACTCACCTATTTGTGGTTGCAGGGGTCGAGTCATAGCTCCTGGCCCTGCCTCTTCACTGATTGCTACTAGGTCCTCTCTCTCCCTGCTCCATGAGCTTTATCATACCTCGCCTTAAAACTATGTATGGTTCCCTCCTCCACTACTTCACTTTCTAGGCTATTCCACGGCTTGACTACTCTATGACTGAAGAAATACTTCCTAACATCCCTTTGATTCATCTGAGTCTTCAACTTCCAATTGTGACCTCTTGTGTCTGTGTCCCATCTCTGGAACATCCCGTCTTTGTCCACCTCGTCTATTCCGCGCAGTATTTTATGTCATTATCATGTCTCCCCTGACCCTCCCGTCCTCCAGTGTCGTCAGGCCGATTTCCCTCAACCTTTCTTCGTAGGACAATCCCCGTAGCTCTGGGACTAGTCTTGTTGCAAACCTTTGCACTTTCTCTAATTTCTTGACGTGCTTGACTAGGTGTGGATTCCAAACTGGTGCTGCATACTCCAGTATGGGCCTGATGTAAATGGTATACAGAGTCTTGAACGAATCCTTACTGAGGTATCGGAACGCTATCCGTAGGTTTGCCAGGCGCCTGTATGCTGCAGCAGTTATCTGATTGATGTGCACCTCAAGAGATATGCTTGGTGTTATACTCACCCCCAGATCTTTTTCCTTGAGTGAGGTTTGCAGACTTTGGCCATCTAAACTATATTGTGTCTGCGGTCTTCTTTGCCCTTCCCCAATCTTCATGACTTTGCATTTGGCAGGGTTAAACTCGAGGAGCCAGTTGCTGGACCAGGCTTGTAGCCTGTCCAGGTCTCTTTGTAGTCCTGCCTGATCCTCATCCGATTTGATTCATCTCATTAACTTCACATCATCCGCAAACAAGGACACTTTTGAGTCTATCCCTTCCGTTATGTCATTCACATATACCAAGAACAGCACAGGTCCTAGGACTGACCCCTGTGGAACCCCGCTTGTCACAGGCGCCCACTCTGACACCTTGTCACGTACCATGACTCGTTGTTGCCTCCCTGTCAGGTATTCTCTGATCCATTGCAGTGCCTTTCCTGTTATGTGTGCCTGATCCTCTAGCTTTTGCAGTAACCTCTTGTGAGGAACTGTGTCGAAGGCCTTCTTGCAGTCCAAAAAAATGCAGTCGATCTACCCCTCTCTCTCTTGTCTTACTTCTGTCACCTTGTCATAAAACTCTAGTAGGTTTGTGACACAGGATTTTTCCTCCCTGAAACCATGCTGGTTGTGTGTGTGTGTGTGTGTGTGTGTGTGTGTCGTTTTAAGCAAATAGCAATACTGCGACCAGCCAGGCATTGAGCCCGGGACATTTAGTCAGCCTCCTGGGAACCTATCTAACCACCGCACTACCATGCAACAATCATCAGGGACCCAGCAAGTACACTGGGTCTGCCACTCCTGATGCAAGCACATTTGTGACCGTGAATACTACAGGACCAATTTCATTCTTCTCCCGTTTGGAATACTAGTCTCACATGTCTGAAAAATGGAAGTTTTCAGATAATTTAATTATAGCGTCATTTTGTTATTTTTTTTTTTTCATGTATACATTCACAATAATTAAGCTAAGAAAAGTGGAGAAAAGGACACATTAATGGAAACTAAAAGACTAAAAGAATCACATAATGACTGGGAAGTGGAATGATCTGAATGAGGAAGTAGTGGAGGCACACTACACAGTTCCAAGAAAACTCATGATACGGCTCAAGAGGCCTGGAATTCAACGAGAGCCTTTGTAATTGCACTGTTCGGGTCAGGAGTCGAGACTCAGCCCTACGAAACAACTTGGCGAGGTCAGAGAAATTACGCAATTACACAAACATAACATATACACGCACAGCTGTAACTCAGTGATGTGAGCAATCAGGACACATAAATGAATCCGGGTTCCATTTCTCGGGC